GAGGAGGAGGAGGAGGAGGAGGAGGAGGAGGAGGAGGAGAGGCGACGAACCACGGGGACTTTGAACAACGAGAACGCTTCGCGCGCGCTCCTCCGGCGCGGAGCATGGTACGGCCACGGAGCAGCTGGCTGGTGCATGGGCGATCACACGGGGCGGGAGCCCTATGCAGGGCGGAAGACGAGCAGCTCGAGGAGGGAAGCGAGGAAGTGGGATGACGGAGGGCGGGAGGGAGAGGACGAAGCAGGGAGGGGCGTGCCAAAGGCGCTGGTCTCAAACAGGCAGACCAGGGAAGGTGGATGCACACAACATGAAGGGACAGGACCAGCTACAAAACTCAACATAGTCCTCTCTGCTGTCAGCATGATCAGCATTATCCTCATCATACCATCCTCATATTCCCTCTCCTACTCTTCCTCCTCTTACCCAGCATCATTTTCCCTCTTCATGCCTGTCTCTCTCTCTCTCTTACTTCCTCTTCAGCCGCGTCCCCTCCTCAGCAACATCCGACAGCGCGCGCATCGCCGTCTCGGCTTGAAGGTCCAGCTTGTCTGCCTCGCCGCTGTCCTCGATCGGCGAGAGAGCAAACAGGAGAGGGAGATGGAGTATGTCTAGCGTGGGTTCTCGGAGGGCTGTACTCAAGGATCCCAGTTGCGTTCAAAAGGTTCCAAGGCCTGCGGTGACACCTACACGCACACACAAACACTCAATCACGCAAACCGCCGACACGCAAATTTCAAATCGGATAAGCTCCAGCGGACTGACCTACACGCACACGTGGCGCAACAGCCTGCAATGTCCGCATGAACACATGGTGCCCGAGAGGGTCCCGAAGCGCCACCGAGCATCAGACAACGGGCGACCACCAGATCACCACCATGCGCATCATTGTATGGCGCGCAGTAGCACATCCGCTCCTGAGCAACGCAACTCGCCTGCGAACGCCGCAGCGAGCGTGGGAGCGCACGCGGGTGGAAATAGCGTCTGCCAGGCCATGCGGGCCACCGAGCGCCACGGACCACCTTCGCACGCCGGGGAGAGCACGCGATACTGGGAGCGCCACTGCGAGACAGCGTGCGAAGGCCATGTGCACCTTGCATCCGGAGCCTCCGGGTGGCCCGCTGGACCCCGCGCGCGCCGAGGAGAGCACACGACACTGGGAGCGCCACGGCGCGACAGCGTGCGAGGGGCCCTGCACGCATCGCATCCGAAGCCCGTGGGTTGCCCGCCGGACACCGAAGCCCGTGGCGCGCGGTCTCTGGTCCTCTGATCGTGGCCCGTGCCGCTGGCACGACGGTGGGCGCGCTGCCCGCGGCCAGCCCAGCGGCCCCGCGCGGTCTCCGCGGGGCGGCGCCCGCGCGGCGCGGTGGCCCAGCGGTGGACTTCAGGGCGTCGGGGGGCGCAGGCGACGCCGTCCTCCTCCTCCCTCCCTCCCTCCCTCCCTCCCTCGCTCGCTCCCTCCCTCCCCCCCTCCTGCCCCTCCTCCTCATCCTCCTCCTCCTCCCCCCCTTCCTCCCCCTCTGTTCCGTTTGTCTTCTTTTTCTTATTTCTCCTCTTCCTCTCCTCCTCTCCTCCTCCTCCTCCTCCTCCTCCCCTCCTCTCCCTCCTCCTCCCCTTCCTCCTCCTCTCCTCCTTCCTCCTCCTCCTCCTCACTCCCCTCCTCCTCCTCCTCCTTCCTCCCCTCCTCCCCCCTCCTCCTCCTCCCCCGCCTCCCCCTCTCCTCCTCCTCCTCTCCCTCCTCCTCCTCCTCCTCCTCCTCCTCCTCCTGAAGGGGCACAGACAGGGACTGGCTCAGAGGGGGTAAACGTCGACTTGGTCCTCATCCTCAGCTTCCTCCTCCTGAGGGGCAACGATAGGAGGGGGGGACTGGCTCAGGGGGGGGAACGTCGACCTGGAATCGGCGGTGCACCGCCGATAGACTGATGGCAGGCCCCCGATAGCAAACCTCCACACGCCACACGCTCCTGGGCGGGGTGGGCCATCGGGCCCCCATCGGCGATCAGTGGGCGATTCGGGGGACGATGCACCTCCCCTGAGCACATGCCCCCCTAACGTTGGCCCTGACTCCTCCTCCCCACCTGCTGCAACTCACGGGAGCCTCCCACACCATCCTTGTTGGCTCTTGCGACTCGGCGCTGATCGACACTGGATGACGCGATGCCGATGTGAATCGACGCTGCACGACGCTAAAGCTGGGCCACCTCACAGACTAACAGGCGCCGATCGATGCACGTGCACTCTCTGACGAGGGGAACTACGAGGGCACATCAGGCTCCCATGGTTTGCTGCCGAACACAAGCATCAGGTCGGGCATGTCCTCCTACAGGCATGCCCTAAACAGATACAGCAGTAGTCACAAATAGCGTTAAACCAAATCGTTCTTCGATTAGTCGTTTCTATGTTTAAATGTTCTCCCTGTAGAGGGACAGGCCCGACTTAGCACAAGCAGGGAGGCCATCTGCGGGGCCACCAGTGGGCCCGCCTTCCCGCAAGGGCGCGGGAGGCCCTCTCGAAGGCGGCGAGCCCCCCCGCGGAGGGCAGCGCACACGCGCGCCCTCCAAGCGGCGTGCGGCCCTCTCTGGGGGCCGCCCCGCCCACCCGACCCCTGATCCCCTTGCTGAGCGCCGCCACGCGAGGAGGAGGAGGAGGAGGAGGAGGAGGAGGAGGAGGGGAGGAGGAGGAGGAGGATGGAGGAGGATGAGGAGGAGGACGGAGGAGGGACGGAGGGAGGAGGAGAGGAGGAGGAGGAGGAGGAGGAGGAGGGGAAGGGCGGCGGGAGGGAGAGCGGGAGAGGAGGAAGGAGGAGGAGGAGGAGGAGGAGGAGGACGGAGGAGGGCGGAGGAGGGCAGAGTGGGCCACTCGCGGGACAGCAGCAGGCCGTTCGTGGGGAACCGGTGGGCCACTGGCGGAACGCGAGAGTCCACGGCGGGGCGAACGCCCCTCCGCAGCTGCAGAGGCAAGCCTCACCCCGACCTGCCGAGCCTCCTCTCCCCCGCGGCCGAGACACGGGCGGTCCCTGTGCTTGCGCCTCCTCTCCTCCCGCCTCCTCCCTCGCCTCCTCCCCCTCCCCTTCCCTCCTCCCCTCCTCCTCCTCCTCCTCCTCCTCTCCTCCTCCTCTCTCCTCCTTCCTCCTCCCTCCTCCTCCTCCTCATCATCCTCCTCCTCTCCCCCTCCTTCCTCCCTCCCCTCCTCCTCCTCCTCCTCCTCCTCCTCCTCTCCCCTCCTCCTCCTCCTCCCTCCTCCTCCTCCCCTCTCCTCCTCCTCCTCCTCCCTTCCTCCCCTACTCCACTCCTCCTCCTCCTCCTCCTCCTCCTCATCCTCCTCCTCCTCCTCCTCCTCCTCCTCCTCCTCCTCCTCCTCCTCCTCCTCCTCCTCGAGGGGCAACGATCAGGGGGCCCACTCCTCCCCAGGCGGCCGCGACGCGGGCGGTCCCTGCGCTCGCGCCGCGCCTCGTCGTCCAGGCGGTCCAGGCGGCGGCGCGCCAGGCGCGCGAGCCGCTCCCCCTGCGACTCCACGCGCCGGGCCTGCCGCAGGGCGGCCGCCCCCCCCCCCCCCGCCCCGGCCGGGGGTGCTCCTCGTTGGGCGCCCGAGTTATCCGGGGTAACTCGGGTCCGGGGTAACGCGGGTTTGGACTCCCGAAAAACGAACCCGAGTTAGCCCTGACCCGAGTTACCCCTGATGATTTGGGGCTCTGGACGCCCGAGTTATCCGGGGTAACTCGGGCCCGGGGTAACTCGGGTTCCGAATCCCGAAAAGCGAACCCGAGTTGGCCCTGACCCGAGTTACCCCTGATGATTCGGGGCTCTGACCTCAAGCGCGGGCCGGAGGCCTCCCAAAGAGGGCCCGCAAGACGAGAAGCCGGGATGGGGATACGTAATTACGCTCGGGGGCCCAAGCTGACCAGCCTCGAAGGTATCCCCAGCCCTGGACTGTGGCAGGCCAACTTTGAACCTGGCGCGCCGTCGGTGCCGCCGCGGGCGATGTACTTTGGAGACTGGCCCGGCAGCGGCCGCTGTTGGCATTGGACGACATCTGCTGCTGGGCATCGTCCCCATTTCTTTGTCCGTACCCATCTCGGGCTGCGGGTCGTAATGAAGGGGGCCTGGGACACGCAAGTAAATACACACAAATGACAGGATGGCCCATATTTTCCCATATGTATATATATATACATATATATATATATATATATATGGGTTTTCGTTTTCCCTCCCGCTCCCCATATTCTCCCATATTTTCCTGGGGAGCGACGATGAATTGTGTCTGTGTGTATTCCTCCTGACGAAAGCGCCTCGGAGCGCTCTGAGAGCGTTCTGGAACGACTTCTCCTTGCGGCGGTCAGGAGCTTCGGGACCGCGTGTCGCCACGGCGGCCCTGGCGGCACGCCACGCCTTGCGAGTGGGCAGCACGCCGCTCCGTTCCGCGGGGCGGGAGGCTCGGACAAGCTCGGGACGCTGACGCTGGGGCACCGGGAAGCAGCTGGCCTGCCGCGCCGAAGCGTGGCGGGCCAGAGCCGGTGGAGCGACACGCGAAGCAAGGGTTCCCGACCCTGGCCCCGCCCGATATCAGTTGTCCGGCGGTTTCCGGAGGATCTCGGCAGCGCTGCGCCCAGCAGGAGTTCCTCAGGAGCCGGGCGGGAGGTCAGATGTCGCGCGGGTGCCAGCGACAGGGTGCGCCCGCCCGCCGCAGAGGACGGGAGGGGAGGGAGAAGAGAAGAGAAAGAGCAGGAGAAAAGGGGGGGGGAAAGAGGGCCGCATGGAGAAGGGGGAGCAGGGAACAGGGGAGAGGCGGAAGGCAGAGGGGACACGCGCGAGGACGCGGGGTGTTCGGGCTGCTGCTGGAGGCTTTTTGGAAGCGTTCGGGTGCGTGCTCGAAAGATCTCGGAGTCGTTCGGACATTCTGGGGGTTCTCCTGGAGGCTCCTGGATTGCTTCGGCGGTGCCCGGATTGTTTTAGATGGCTTCGGGTGCCGTCGGAGGCTATCGGAGATTTCCCGCAGCCCTGTGGCGGCGTTCGAAGCTGCAAAGCGCTGCATCCTGACTGGGGTCTTGCACTGCAGAGCACAAGGAAGCGCTGCATCCGGCTGGGGCCAAAGAACCGCGAGGTGCTGGCGCTTCTCTTTTGCCTCCTCGTCCTCCTCGTCCTCCTCGTCCTCCTCCTCGTCCTCCTCCTCCTCCTTCCTCCTCCTCATCCTCCTCCCACTCCTCCTCCTCCTCCTCCTCCTCCTTCTCCTCCTCCTCCTCCTCCTTCTCTCCTCCTCCTCTCCTCCTCCTCCTCCTCCTCCTCCTCCTCCTCCTCCTTCCTCCTCCTCCTCTCCTCCTCCTCCCTCCTCCTCCTCCTCCTCCTCCTCCTCCTCCTCCATTCCTTTTCCTTATACATAACTTCTCCCTGTCGCACCCCGAGACCACTTTTTAGGGCGGACGCGCGTTTCGCCTGAGACTTCCTCACCATTTACGAACTCTGAAGCTTCAAGATTGGCAACAGCTTTACAGATGGAGGACGGGTGGCTTTCAAAATGTGGCTCTCGCCTCAGCGCGGCGAACATTCGTTGTAAACATTTGCTAGAGCTTTACGGATTGAGGGCGGCTCGTTTTCAAAATGTGGCTCTCGCCTGAGCGCGGCCCACATTCGTTGTAAACATTTGCTAGAGCTTCACGGATTGAGGGCGGGTCGTTTTCAAAATGTGGCTCTCGTCTGAGCGCGGCGCACATTCGTTTTAAACACTGCAAGAGTTTCACGGATTCACGGCGGGCCGTTTTCAAAATGTGGCTTTTGCCTGAGCGCGGCGCACACTCGCTTTCAACATTTGCTAGAGCTTCACGGATTGACTGCGGGCCGTTTTCAAAATGCGGCTCTCGCCTGAGCGCGGCGCACATTCGTTTCAAACATTTGCAGATATTTTACGGATTGAGAGCGGTCGCTTTTCAATATGTGACTCTCGCGTGGGCGCGGCGCACATTCTTTTCAAACATTTGCAAAACATTCACGGGTTGAAAGCGCTTCCTTTTCAAAATGTGGCTCTCGCCGTAGCACGGCGCACGTTTGCTTTAAAATTAGCCAGCGCTTCACGGATTGAGAGCGGCTCCTTTTCAAAATGTGGCTCTCGCATTAGCGCCGCGCGCATTCGTTTTACACATTTGCAAGAGTTTCACGAAAAAGCATGATCAACGTACCAGAACTCGTGTTTTTGAAAGGGTTCAGGATTACGCGGGCGCACCAATTACGTTGATTCGCTGCGTCTACGTCCCAGGACTGGCGTTCTGGCACGGTTCTGGATCGTCCACACGCAACAGTCAGGTTGATCCGTGGCGTTGGAATCCTCCTCCTCCTCTTCCTCCTCCTCTTCCTCCTCCTCTTCCTCCTCCTCCTCTTCTATTCCTTTTCCTTATACATAACTTCTCCCTGTCGCACCCCGAGACCACTTTTTAGGGCGGGCCGGGCGTTTCGCCTGAGACTTCCTCAGCATTTACGAACTCTGAAGCTTCAAGATTGGCAACAGCTTCACAGATGGAGGACGGGTGGTTTTCAAAATGTGGCTCTCGCCTCAGCGCGGAGCGCATTCGTTTTGAACATCTGCGAGTGTTTCACGGATTGAGGGCGGGTCGTTTTCAAAATGTGGCTCTCGCCTGAGCGCGGCCCACACTCGTCTCAAACATTTGCTAGAGCTTCACGGATTGAGGGCGGGTGGCTTTCAAAATGTGGCTCTCGCCTCACCGCGGCGCAAATTCATTTTAAACACTGCACGTGTTTCACGTATTGAAGGCGGGTCGTTTTCAAAATGTGGCTCTCGCGTGAACGCGGCGCACATTCGCTTTAAACATGTACCAAAGCTTCACGGATTCACGGCGGGCCGTTTTCAAAATGTGGCTTTTGCCTGAGCGCGGCGCACATTCGTTTCAAACATGTGCAAACAAAAATCACGGATTGAAAGCGGTTCCTTTTCAAAATGTGGCTCACGCCGTAGCACGGCGTACATTTGCTTTTAAAAATCAGCCAGCGCTTCGCGGATTGAGAGCGGCTCCTTTTCAAAATGTGGCTCTCGCATTAACGCCGCGCGCAATCGTTTTACACATTTGCAAGAGTTTCACGAAATCGCATGATCAACGTACCAGAACTTATGTTTTGAAAGGGTTCAGGATTACGCGGGCGTACCAATTACGTTGATTCGCTGTGTTGACGTCCCAGGAATGGCGTTCTGCCACGATTCTGGATCGTCCACACGCAACAGTCAGGTTGATCCGTGGAGTTGGAATCCTCCTCCTCCTCTTCCTCTTCCTCCTCTTCCTCCTCCTCCATTTCTTTTCCTTATAAAGAACTTCTCACTGTCGCACCCCGAGACCACTTTTTAGGGCGGGCCGGGCGTTTCGCCTGAGACTTCCTCACCATTTACGACTCTGAAGCTCAGAGATTGGCCACAGCTTCACAGATGGAGGACGGGTGGTTTTCAAAATGTGGCCCTCGCCCCAGCGCGGCGCACCTTCGTTGTAAACAGTCGAAATCCTCCTCCTCCTCCTCCTTCTCCTCCTCCCTGTCACGGCCCCAGGGGTCCCGAGCCCCAGCGAAAGGGACCCCAGAGGCCCGGCGCCCGTGGGCCCCGGGCCGCTCTCACCGACCTCCTGCTCGCCTCGCAGCGGCCAACGCCGTCGCCTCCGCCGCCTCCCTTCGGAAGCCGGGCGAGGGCTGCCAAATCCGTGGCTGCTAAGATCGAGCTGCAGGAAGCTGTCTCGATCGTCCTTCCGGGGAAGAAGCCCCGTGGACTGCGTCGCGTGCCGCGCCTCCTTCCGGGAAGTTTTGTTTTTTGTTTTTTCCTTCCCTGAGGGCCGCTTCAGCAGCCGCGGCTTCCGCAGCCCGGGCCCCGCTTTCGGCCCGGAGGTGGGCCGCGCGCGGAGCGCGGGGCCCACCTCCGAGGAGGCTGCCCGGAGCGCGCGCAGGAGTCCACAGGCCGTCGGAGCCTCGGGCCGGAGCCCGAGAGCAGTGGCGGCTCACGTAATGTGGGATGACGATGAATAAAAAAAATGGAGGGGAACGATTGAACAAAAAATAGTTGCTTGCTATTTCTGCACAACTTCCTGACTGGAGGCGAACGGTTTAAAAACAAATAGTTTTCCAGCCCGCGGCCGGTCTTTTCCTAATCGTCATCCCGGGCGCCGCCGCGTGAACACGACCCCCGGTCATTTATTAATCGTCATCCTCCATTAGCCTGGAGGCGCCCTGGCATTCCATTTCCACATGAATGGCGGACTCCGGAAAGAAACTCTGAACCTCAAAGCGTTTTCATATCTGTGGGGCGCATCTTCTGCCTCCGCCGAACTTCCGTTGGCGGAGGCGGCCTCGGTTTGATTCCGCCGCCCTTCCGCCGCCTTCCGCCGAGGAAGAGATGGCAACTCCTTCGATCCGCGAAGGCAAGGCCCGTTTTGGAGCGCCTCAAATGACTCCTCCCTGTCGCACCCCGAAGCGTGTCGGTAGCGCAGGCAGGGCGTTTTGCCCGATTTCCTCACAATGGATGACCTTAAGCATGAAAGTTGCAACAGTTTGGCTGATGGAGGGCGGGTCGCTTGCAAAATGTGACTCTCGCCTCAGCGCCGCGCACATCCGTCCTAAAAGTTTACAAGGGCTTCACGGAGTGAGGGCTGCTCCTTTTCGAAATGTTGCTCTTGTCTTGGCGCCGTACACATTCGTCGTGAGTTTCAAAGAATCGTCTGATTTAAGGCGCAACGCTCACGTAGATTGGCGGCGTTGAAGTTCCAGGAACGGCAGTCTGGCACGATTCTGGATCGCCTGGGTGCAACAATAACGTTGATTCGCGGCGTTGAAGTACCCAGAATGGTGTTTGGCACGGTTCAAGATTTTCAAACGGTTGTCTTCCAACGGGGTTTTTCCCGCCGCGAGAACAATTACGAAGAGGGAACTTGGAGAGAGGGCTTGTTGCAACATCGCTGGTGAGTCTTGGGTTTGCACTGGTCCTCATCCTCCTCCTCCCCCTCCCGCTCCCTCGCCCCCTCCAGCCCAGGCTGAGGGAGCGGGTCGAGTCGACACCTCGGCAGATGCGTAACTAAGGTTAGTTCAGGCATGTCCTTCTGCAGGCAGGCTTGGAAGAAAAATAATATACAAAACTTAAAATTGTCATTTTGTTATTCTCAAAGTCGTCCCCATTGGAGTGTTCTTAAATTTTCGTCCTGTAGAGGGATATGCCCGACCGGAAACTAATGTGGGGTGGGGAGGGGGGCCCTGTCGGTGGCCCCTGGCAGGGATGGCGCCACCCTGCCTCCTCCGATGCCCCCCCCCCCCGCGATTTTCCCCTCCTCTCCCACCAGAGCCTCCCCCTAGAGGCCTCCTTGATGGGGTCCGAGTCGATGGAGTCGAAGGATCTCGCCGCATCGCCGATACTTCGGCGATGCGTCGGCAATGCATCGGCGATGATCTGGCGATGCATCGCCGACGTGGGCGATGCCTCGGCGACGTCGACGTGAAGCAAATCGGGCTCCGCATCGAGCCGCACCGGCGAATGCATCGGCGATGCGGCGCGATCCTCCGACCCCACCTCTACTCCGACCGCACCTGGGAGGCCTATAGACCCCCGCCCCCTCCCCCTCTGAGCATCAGGGACCGACGGTCCCGGCATTCTTATAGTCCTACCACACGAAATGTTCTTTTCGAACCCCAAGAATCTTCTAAGAACCAAAACAAGGTTCTTAGAACATAAAAACCCGGTGTGATAAAGCAAGGCAGACTCCGCCAGAAATGCTCTCTAAGAACAGCTCGTGGAAGCCACAAAAGGTTCTTAGAACATGGGTTGGTAGGGCTATAGGCGAGCCAGGACGCTTCGCCACTGCTTGACCCCTCGGGCCTCCCCCTCCTCCTCATCCTCCTCCTCCCTCCCCCTCCCCCTCCCCCCCCCCCTCCTCCTCCTCCTCCTCCTCCTCCTCCTCCTCCTCCTCCTCTCCTCCTCCTCCTCCCCTCCTCTCCTCCTCCACCTCCTCCTCCTCCCCCTCCTCCCCCTCCTCCTCCTCCTCCTCCTCCTCCTCCTCCTCCTCTCCTCCTCCTCCTCCTCCTCCTCCTCCTCCTCCTCCTCCTCCTCCTCCTCCTCCTCCTCCTCCTCCCCCCGGGCCCGCGCAGCGGAGGGGCGGCCGCCTGGCGCCGCGCCAGGCCGCTCAGGCCGTCGGCGCCCCGGCGCACGGTGCGCACGTGCCGGCCTCGGCCGCACCGCGCAAGGGGGGGACGGGGACCATGACCGAGATGGGAGGAGGAGGAGGAGGAGGAGGAGGAGGAGGAGGAGGAGGAGGAGGAGGAGGAGGAGGGGGAGGAGGAGGAGGAGGAGCCCGACCAGAGCCAGAAGACGGTTATGAAGTGCTCTCGGAACCCCCCTCAGGACCCCCCCAAAGGGCCAACATCCTCCGAGAACCTTGGGGAGATCCGTGATTTGTGTGCCTTCTCGCCGAGTCACTTCCGAGGCGCTCTTGAGGCGGCGCTTCCGATGCGCTTTTGAGGCTCAAGAGGCCCCCCAGACGACCTCGAGAGTGCCCAAGAGCGGCCCAAGAGGCCTCAAGAGGCGATTTTGGTTCCAGGGGGGGCGCAACTTGTCCCCCCCCCTTTTGACCGATGGCCTCCAAGGTGGCTTCAAGAGGCCCTCCAAGGCTCCCGAAGGACCCCACAGAAGGCTTCAAGAGGGCCGTAAGACTCCCCCAAAGAGCCCCAAGATCTCCTAAAAGACTCGAGTCCCAAGAGGGCTCCAAGAGGCGTTTTTGAAGGCTCTCATCTCGTCCTCGTTGTCCTCCTTCTCGTCCTCGTCCTTGCCCTCATCGTCTTCCTGTTCTGTTCCTCCTCTTTCGCGTGGTGGTGGTGGTGGCTGTGGTGGTGGTGGTGATTGTGGTAGTGGTGTTGGTCGTCGTCGTCGTCGTCGTCGTCGTCGTCGTCGCCGTCTTCCTCTTCTTCCTCCTCCTCCTCCTCCTCCTCCTTCTACTCCTCCTCCTCCTCCTCCCCCAGCCCCCACGCGGGCCCCAGGGATGGCCCGAAGAGGCCATCCAAGGCCACCCCCTTGGTCCCAAGGATCTCTCTGCCCACCCTGGTTGCCAGTTTTGTTTCACTACATGTGTCTCTTTTAATATTCTTCCCCGTCAACATTCACGGGCAGGAGAATTAGTTTTCAGGCCTTGTAGGTTGTCGACGACCTCGCATTCCTCCCGGTCTTATCCACAGCCGCGGGGGCTATGGTACAATACAGTCGCGGCTGCACGACGACGCTCATGATCCTGCTCCTGCCCTCCCTGCTGCTCACCCCTCCCGCTCCAATGCTCAAGGGAGCAGCACCCCTCCAGGGACGAATGCCCCGAGCGATCCCACCCGCGGAGGGTCTGTGTCCTCACGACCACGGCGATGGCTTCGAGCAAGGCGTGGATCGTTCCCCCTGGAACGATTGGTGGCCTCTCGCTCGCTGCATAGCTCCCGTTAGCAATCTCTGGGCCGCTGGCGGCGTTCAGCCTTGAACTTCCGCGCTTTGGGGTCACAGCCGCATCGCCACGACGTGAGCCTCTCCCGTGCCCCCTGAGCGCTGCGCCGCTGGCCGGCGGCAACCTGTGCTGCACGCGGGCGACGAAAGGCGCAGGCGGGGTGGGCGGGGCTGGCGGCACGAGGCCCTGAAGAACGAGGCGGGTTGGGCAGGGCTGGCAGTCGAGGCGTTGACCTAAGGAACCCTAAATAAGGAACGAGGCCCCTATTTTCCAGAAGTTGAACCTCGATGTCGTATCGAAAACCGAAGGAAGACCTGAGGCCAACTGCGAAACACTTAAGGAACACGGAGCCCCTCCCCAACGAAAAGAAAAGGGTTCCTTCTTCAGGGCCCCGACTGTACCCTTGACCCTTGACCTTCGAGCCTCGACCGCGATCTCTCCGAATCTCAGGCGGTCGTTATTGAGGGGGGAATCAGCGCTGGGTCAAGAAATGGGGGCCGTTCCAGCACCATAGTTGGGCCCGCGGGCGGTCGCAGGTTGGGCGCCCGTTTCGGGACCGTCTAGAGCCAGGTCCCTGCGATCCTCGACGCCCTCGCCCACCCCCGCTTCTCGCTGCCCCCAGACCCCGCTGCCGATCGCGAGTGATGCGGAGTGATGCGGCTGGACCTGAGACAGAAGAGCACACTACAAGAACAGGAGGCTCTCCGCCAGTCAGTCTGAAAACTGTACTGCAAGGCATCCGAATGTAACCGCACCCAGGATGCACAAGGCAAGGCAAGGCGCCGATGTTCGCCCTGGGCGGAGGGGCGGCCCTGTAAGAGCTCGGCGGGGGCGACGGAGCCCCGAAACTCAGATGTCGTAGTACACGCTTGCTTCAGAATCTGGACTTCGAACTATTGGCTCCATTGAATCATGTCCTTCCCGCGGAGAATCCAATAGTCAATCCTTCCCAGAATCACTCCAAGAACATGCAGCAACACTTGTCCGTCAGCGGCGAGGCGGCGAACTCCGCTCCAGCGAGAAGCTAGATAGGGGCACTAACAAGCGAGTTGGCCGGCGAGCCACAAGGGAAAGGGGGAACTGCCGAGAGGAAGAAGGGACGCCCAGACGCTGAGGAGCTCGACGACGAGCAGCCCGGGGGGGCAGCAGCAGCCAGGCGCAGCATCCAGCAACCACGCAGAACGTCGGTTCGATCGTACTTGGATCAGAGGCGCAGGCCGCAGATCCCCCAGACATCCGACGTCTCGATTTTCTCGAGACGCGGGCCCCCGACCCCCCAACCACTTCCCCAGGGCCGGCTTTTTTCCTCCCGAGCCGTTTTGTTGACGGTCCCGAGGCCCGGCGAGGGGCCCCGAGAGGCCGAACCCTGTGACAAACCTCCGTCCCGATTTCTTCGAGACGCCCGATGTCTGGGCCTCGACCGCAAGGCCCGCTCCTCCGCCCTCGACCGCCAGGCCCCGACCTCCGACCCCGAGCCCTCGAGCCCCCTCCGCCGCTCGACGGCAGGACCTCGACCTTCGGCCCTCGGCCCCGGAGCCTCGGTGCTTCGGTCACAGGCCGCGGCCTCCGAGGCACGGCCCCTCGGCGAAATCCCTGAGGAGCCGCCGACGTGTCCTAGAGAGACAAACATATGCATATACAGATGTATATAAATATATAAACTGCCAATATCTCTATATTTGTGTATCTATATATACACATTCATATTTACACATAGATCGATTCTCTAACCGTCGCCGCACTAATCCACGGGGCCCGGGGGCCCAGGAGGCTTGTGGGGAGCTTTTGCGGGGCAACTTTGACCCATCCTGGGGGCCGGTGTGGCGTCTCTTGGGTCATCTTGTTGAACCTCTTGGGAAGCTGGGACATGTTAGGAGGCCTCTGTGGGGGTCCTTCGTGCCTTTCGGGGGCCGTCTTGCGTGCCCGTCGGGCTGTCTTGGGTGCCTCTTGGGCCGTTTTTTTTGCGGTGGGGACTCCTTCGAGGGGTCGAAGGAGCAGGGGCTGCCCTGGACAGGTCACACGACTCCTGCCGCGCGAGCACGGCTGCACAACGTCCTTGCCCCTGTGTGAGACTGCTTTCAAGCAGGTAGGCCACACCGCCGAATTCTAAAGCGGACTGCGAGACGGCCTTCAGGTAAGGCTCGAACCCGCGCTCTGAAAATAACAAAAACCTTATGTCACGCGACTCCTGCCGCGCGACCACTCCTGCACAACGCCGTTGCCCTTATGTGAGACGGCCTTCAAGCACGTACTCCCAACCGGCGAACTCTAGAACAACTTTCAGGGGGCTGGGAGGAAGGACGAGGAGGACCAGAGGGAGGAGGACACCGTGCATAAGTCCTTCAGTGCACGATCGCGTGCGGCTCGAATTCGGATGCCACCGCGCTTGGGCGGCTGCTCAGTTAGACAGGCGCAACGCGCACGCTGATCTGTGGGCCCCGGGCAGACTGTGGCGACGATTCCGTCGTGCCGAACGGGAGGGGGAACAGAGGAGGGAGGATACATCCTAGCGTCTGGCTAGGGTTGGTTCGGGGTGGCGGTGACCATTGACTGGGGATGCGACTGCGCGGATGCTGGCAACATGTTGACATGAGTTGGGCACGGGGCAGGGCCTGTCACCTCCGCCTCAGCGCGCCTGGTGCCCATTGCCTGAGAGCGTGACTGCACGGATGTTGGCAAAACGTTGTCATGCGAGGGGCACGGGGCAGGGCCTGTCGTCTCCGCCTCAGCGTGCCTGATGACCATTGCCTGACAGTGTGACTGCACAGATGCTGGCAAAACGTTGTCATGAGAGGGGCACGGGGCAGGGACTATCACCTCCGCCTCAGCGTGCCTGAGAGCATCGTCAGGTTCGAAAAAGAAACGTGCGCAGGCCTGAACATCAAAGTGCAATTTTCCACATGCCAATATGGAGTGCCCCCTGCGTGTCAATTGGAAGCGGACGAGGGGCTGGGCATTCTGTACTGCAGCCTAGCCCGCTCGACATGTGAGACTCGATTTCTTACGTGTGAAAGGACCGTCGGCTGGGATGCGTACGCACAATCCCGTGGCTCATTTCCTAGGAAACCTACGCCTCCTGTCACCTACCACCTCATGGGGCACTGGGAGGAGGACGACACAACAGCCTATAAGAATATGTCAACATCCTTTTCCTAGATTTGAGCCTACATAGCGCAGGGTTTCCCCCCCCCCCGTGCGACGGCATCACAAACGTTGTTACAACCAAATGCAACACTCATCGGTTGACCATGGGTGCCGTCGCAATTGAATCGTAGGTGCCCTCGCAGCCGTACGTCTACGAGGGCACCTAGGATGAACAGAAGCGCGTGGCAGCATACGTGGGAGCATGGCCAAGCCACTGCACGACTCATCGGTTGACCATGGGTGCCGTCGCAATTGAATCGTAAGTGCCCTCGCAGCCGTACGGCTGCGGTCCCACCACGATGAACAGAGGCGCGTGGCAGCATACGTGGGAGCATGGCCAAGCCATTGCACGACTCATCGGTTGACCATGGGTGCCGTCGCAATTGAATCGTAGGTGCCCTCGCAGCCGTACGGCTGCGGTCCCACCACGATGAACAGAGGCGCGTGGCGGCATACGTGGGAGCATGGCCAAGCCGCTGCATGCTACAACCCCGTTGTTGGATCGCTGGTTAGAGCGGGGGCCGTCGGCGGCGGAATGAGCGGGGCCCATGTGGAGAGAATCAGAGAGGTGGAGGAAAAACGGAAGGAAGGGGAGAAATGGC